CATCGTAAAGCAGCGTGTCAAGGGATAGTTTGGAGGATGAAGATGAGGACTGGGGGTTGAACATGGAAGAGGGTGAGTTCCAGGATGATTTTTTTGTCCAAGAGACAAAAACCAAATGTTCAGAAAAAGGCGGAGGGAGGTGTGTTTCCTTAGAATAAACATTAAATGCTCCGCCAAAAGTCCTGGTGGCGCATCAGGTGGAGGGGATGTTTCAAAAAGCTTTGGAAAGGGAAAAGCCGATTTTGGAAGATACATGCGTTGAAGTGATATAGGATTTGTAGAAAAATTAAAATTCAAAAAGCAGAAAGGACATGGAGAGTGGGAAAAGAAAAAAGGTTTTAGGTAAAAAAGTCTAAATGGGGCCAAGGAAAATGCATGAAGTGGACTTTAGAACTTAGACCAAGATGAAAAAAATGACATGGAAGGCCCATTCGAGAAAGAATTCAAAATCCCAAAGTGTTTAAGAGAGACATCCACTAGCATGTCATCTAATTTGTTTTTCCATACAAATACAACATCAGTCAAAACAAAGTTAATCCCCAATTTCAATAGTGAAGAGAATAAATGTTTGGAGAAGACATTGATGTTCAAAGTAGTTCATACAAGTTTGCTTCGATCACCACCAAAGGAGACTCGTGAAAGGTTGGGGAAAGATGAAGCATCAACATTTCGATAAATTTAGGAGGTTCTCAATAAATATCTTTTGAGGATTCAACCGTGGAGAGTGAGGAACGAAATAGGGGTGGAGAGGAGGATGATTTGGCAAACAAACTATGGAATGAAATCAATAAATTAGGGATTGAAAAAGGAAATTTAGATGAGATATATGTGGAATAAATTAGGGGAATGGAGAAAAGAGATTCATAAGGAATGGAGGGCCGGAAGGGGAAAACAACAGTTTGAAATGAATATAGTTTCTTTCAATATTCGGGGAATATGGGCTCTCTTTGAAATGAAGGAGATTAAATTAAACTCTAGCAAAGAGGCAAGCTGATATGACATTCATTCAAGAAACAAAAACACAACAGATGAGTGATGCTTTTGTGGAATCAATGTGGGGAAATAAAAATGTTCAATGGACAATAAAGGATTATGAGGGAGCTTCTGGCGGGATGTTAATTATTTGGAGGATAGGGGTGGTAGAATAAATTTTCAATTTCAAAACAGAAGGCTCAGTGGGTATATGTGTCTTATTCAAGAACCAAATTTACTATTTTGTAAATATTTACTCTTCATGTTTGATACAAAAGAATATAGTATTATGGAACGAGATAGGACAGTTGAAGAATAGTTTTGGTCCTAGTTGGTGGTGTGTTTGGGGGGGTTTTAACAGTATCAGAGATAAGGAGGAAAGGGTGGGAAGGAATATGGAGAGAGTTGGGATGCATAGGAGCACGAAAATGGAAGAATTCAATGATTTCATTGAGGGGATGGAGTTGGTTGAGGTATCAACGATGAGTGGAAGGTTTAATTGATCAAATAAAGAAGGGAGTGCAAAGAGTATATTGGACATGTTTTTACTCTTGGAGGAATTGGTAGGTAACTAGAAAATAGGGGGAGTGTTGATCAGGGATAAAGACATATCAGATCATTCCCCAATATGGTTAAAGGAGAATGTTTTGGATTGGGGACCAAAACCTTTTAGGGTCAATAGTTGTTGGTTTTAGCATAAATATTTCAAAAGATTTGTGGAGGAATTATGGAGAGCAATTGATGTGGAAGGTAGACAAGTATACACGATGAAGAAAAATTTAAGAAGTTGCGAAACAAGTTGAGAGTTTGGAATAGGGAGTAGTTTTGAAGTTAAATGGTTGTGACAGAATAACAAGTATTACAGATTCAGATGACAACAACGTTGAGGTTGGGATAAGAGCGGAAACCAAGGAGGACATATGGAAACATCTTCATTTAAAAGAAATCTTATTAAAATAAAAGTCAAGATAGAAATGGCTTGTAGAAGGCGGTATTAACTCAAGGTATTTTCATGCTGTGATAAAAGAAATGAGGCGTATAAATTCAATCTTGTCGATTACCAATAGTGATGGCGTGAAAGTTGAGGATGTGGAGGGGATTCAAAACGAGATTTTCAATGTTTTCGAAGATAAATTTAAAGAAGGTGAGGAAAATAGACCATTTCTGAAGGGAATTGAGTTTAAGAGGAAATTTGAAGAGGAAAGGGTTGGACTAGAATCAAAATTTACAGAAGAGGAAATTAGGACGGTTATGTGGGATTAAGACGGTGATAAATGCCCAGGACCCAACGAGATTAATTTCAAATTTATACAAGATTGCTGGGATTTTTTAGAAGAGTAAATTGGAATGTTTGTGCATAAATTTTTCTTAAATGCAAGTTTTCCTAAAGCGATAATAACATCTTTTATAACACTAGTTCTGAAAAACCTTAATCTTCAAGGCTTGAATGAATATAGACCAATCTGTCTAGTGGGATGCTTATACAAAATTCTATCAAAAGTCCTTGCAAATAGAATCAAAAGAGTTCTTAATGGTATTATTTCTCCGTCATAAATATCCTTTGTCCCGAATAGACAAATTCTGGGTGGAGTTTTGGCGCTCAATGAAATCATTGATCAGGCCTCCAAGGAGAAGAAGAAGTGTTTCATATTCAAGGTAGATTTCCAAAAAGCATATTATCACGTGAGTTGGAATTATTTACGAAAAATGCTAGTTAAATTTGGCTTTGGAACAAGGTGGCGTCGTTAGATGGAGGCGTTGATATTCAACAGCTCCATGTCAACCATGGTTAACAATAGTCTAACAAAAGATTTTAGGGTAATGAAGGGTTTAACACATGGTGATCCACTATCACCTTCCTTATTCACTTTGGTGGCAGAGGGTATAACATGTCAATTTAGGAGGACCGTGGAGAATGATAGTTTTGAAGGATATAAGGTGAATGGGGAAACAACAATAAGGCTTTTGCAATTTGTGGATGATACGGTGGTAGTTGGAAAGTGATATTGGAAAAATTTATGGAGTATTAAAGCTATCTTCAAGGGGTTCGAGTTAGCGTCTGGTTTGAAAGTAAAAAATTTTAAAAGTAAAATATATGGGGTGACTGTGAAGGAGGAGTTTATGTAGAGGGCTTCACAATTTCTACATTGCTGCAGGGATACCATTTCATTCAAATTTTTAGGTATATTGGTGGGAGCAAATCTACGAAGATGTGCTTCCTGGAACCATGTAGTGGATAGCTTGAGGAAAAAACTTGCAATGTGGAAGGCGAGGCTTTTATCCATTGGGGGAAGGATACCGTAGTTGAACTCTGTGTTATCAAGCATACCGATTTACATAATGTCATTTTAAAGAGCTCTTTCAAAGATAATTAAGGAGATCATTAAAATCCAAAGCAAATTTTTATGGTGCGGTAAAGAGCATAAGGGGTGTATAAATTGGGTGAGTTGGAATAACGTTTGCAAGCCAAATAAGGAACGTGGTCTTGGGATAAGGCATATAGGATATTTCCATACAGCATTACTATGCAAGTGGAAATGGAGAGTGTTGAAAGAAGATGAAACAATATGGAAACGAATCTTGAGTGCGAGATATGGAAACTTACTTCATGATGTGATGATAGGCAAAAAATTTAAAGTAACCAAAAAAGATTATGCTTAGTGGAAGGATATGTTAGTGGCCAATGCGATTAAAACCAACTCTCTTGATTGTTTTGCAGGTAACATCGGCTATAAAATTGGTGCAAGTAGCAACATAATATTTTGGTACAACAGATAGCTATGCGAACATTCACTCAAGGATGTCTTTCCTAGACTATTCAAAGTGTCCATAAAGCAAAAGGGCTTGGTTTGCGAGATGGGAGATGAGACAGTAGACAAGTGGGTTTGGAATTTCCATGTTGAAGCTTATACAATTTTGGCCAAACCAGTGGCAGCAGCGGAAGCATTCGAATTGATTGAGATATTGTCAATGGTAAACATAATGCCAGAAGAGAAGGATACGAGCATATGGGGGCCAAATCAGGATGGATGCTTCTCAATCAAGAGCTATTATAAAAGTTTGAGAGATTTAAATCTTAAAGAGGTCGTGTTAGACGAAATTAAAGGGGTATTGAGAAGATTATGTAAAACTTGTGTACCTTCAAAAGCAAAGGTGTTTGGGTGGAGAGTAATGTTTAATAGACTCCCAACCAAAGATCAAATGAAAAGAAGAAGAATCATTCACAATGAAGAGGATAAGGTTTGTGTTTTATGTCATAATGGTATAGAAGATGTTAAACATATATTTTTTAAATGTGTCATATTCTTGAAAGTTTGGAGAAACATTTATACTTGATTGGAGCTGGATGTAGAAAATGAGTTGGTTGGTTTGAACCATTTCTATCATTTCACAAATAGTCTTGCAAGAAAGGTGAAAAAGAGAAAGTTGACATGATTTGGTTGGTAGTATTATGGTCTATATGAAGATTGCATTATAGTATTATTTTTGAAAATGATAATTATGTTTTAGATTAGTTAATTTTAAATATCAAATCAATAACATAGATGTGATTGACTATTAACAATAAAGGGAGGAGTTGCGCAACACATTATAGTTAGTTGCACTTTCCATTAGATTTCATTTAATTTGGTTTAAAGCATCTTTTAAATGTTGCTGGAATATTAGTGGTCTTTGTAGTTCTACGAATTGGGTATCCCTTATACTTCTAATAATATCCAAACACTTTTTTAAATTTAATTTTTATCCTTTACGTAAATAAAAATAATTCAAGCGTGTTTTTATCCACCTCTTTTTTTTATTTTGGTGGATATCCAAGATTTATTGTTTCGTTGCCACGTTCAAAGAAAGTTGAAACGTAAAATAAAATAATATAAAGCAAAATCAAGAAAGTAAAATCATTACCGTTACTTACTCATTAACCTCATCATTTTTACACCGCAAACCTACCTCACTTTCTCACACCAATAAAGAAACAAACAAACAAAAAAAAACGATTAAAAAATTTCAAGAACCGGTAACTAACTGACATGTACCCGCGTAACCCGACCCGATTCCGATCCCCCAAATTCCTCACCTCGAGGGCCGAGCGTTTTCTCGGCATCACACCCCACGCGCCGCTACTCGATAACTCCACACCCTTCGAATATAGCGAAGACGACGTCGTTTTCAGTTTCGACAATTCTCACTCCTCTTCTCCCATCCCCATCCCCCGCCACCGTCACCATTACAACCACCATCTGCATCATCACATTCCTTCTCCCTTAGGTCCTCCCGGTTCGTCTGAAATCCACGCCGTCTCGCCGGAAAACAAAGATTCTCCCAATGCGGTCGACGGTTCGGATTGTCTCGATCTCGACTCTGTTTCAATCTCCTCTTCCGTTTCCTCCGATTCATCTTCATCCCACGCAACGCAACCGATTCTCGTCCAGAGATCGGCGTCAGACCGAACTCGGCCGTTTTCATCCTTTGCAGCGAGTAAATTCTACCATTCCGCGCCGATAAATATTCCGATGATGTCGCCGGAAATGGCGGAGCTAGCGAGGAAATTCGAAGAGGAAGAAGCACGAGAGTTGGCTGAGAAAGAGGAATTCAAGAACAAGATGCCTCCGCACGAGTTTCTCGCGAAGCAATTGGATTTTTCACGGATGCATTCGTGTTCGTTGTTCGAAGGAGTTGGAAGAACACTAAAGGGAAGAGATATGCGGAAAGTTCGGAATGCCGTTTTGACCCAAACAGGTTTCATTGATTGAAAAACAATGAGTTTTGAATTTTTTTCTTCGTTTTTTCTTCTTCTTGATTCTTTATATTTCGTCATATTTTCTTAGTTTTTGGTATCAGCCTATGAATTTTTGTTGAGGAATTACAAAAGAATAAAAATCCTAATAAATGAATATGAATTTTTTTTGAATATCTGGTCGATAATTGCTCAATAATTGTTTCAAAGTATTTCAATTTCTTATTTCTTTAATCAACAATAGTATATAATTCTTTTATGATTAATGTGTTATTTTGGATAATTTATTTGAATTTATAACTTTAAGGATGAATTTTGAGACTTAACTGCTTTGGAGATTATTGTTTGGAAATTCTTGTTGAAACTATGTGGTGCTTGGTGATTGTTAGTCATGTAGTCTAGTTTCTTACTATTTTTGTAGTAGTTTGGTAGGAAATGTTTGTCCTTTTATGGTTTTGTTGATGGTGGATTTAGGAATTATGATGAGTATATTATGGATGATGAAAAGAAAATTGGTGTCTAAAATCTTACAGACTGGAAACCGATGATGTTGTTCTGATTGTGTAAGTTATTCTATAAGATAGTGTCATAGTGAATTGTAACAAAACTAATCCTTTGGTTTTGGGTGTTCATATGTGCATGTTAGCAATGATAAAGGATAGAAATTGGAATGTAAGATTAGTAAAGTTGGATGGTTAGTTTCTTTTTGTACCAGACAGAACCTTATATCTTCAAAACTTTTTTAAGCCTTTTTTTTAGTACTCCCTCTAATCATAAAAAGAAAATTTACTTTTTTAAGTCTTTGATTATTCAATGAATTTAAAAAGTAAATTTTTTCTTATAAATAAGATCAGAGATAATATCTTGTATGTTGCCTCTATGGTCATTTAACTTGAAAAATGTAAACACATTACCTCCTTGGACTTTTGAAGCTAGAGGGCTTTGTGCCTTCTAGAGTCCTTTTTCCTCCGAGTTCTTTCTTATCATTTGTTTGATCTCTGTTTTAAAATTCGGAAGGCTTCTCTCCATGTTCTTTCTTATCTTTAGGAGGATTTACACACTTTCATACAGCATATAAATGAGGTAGTATGCACAGCACAGATGCCAGAGGAAAGTGTAATAGCTTAGTTAAGGATTCAGAAATTATTCTCACACTTCTTATGTTTGAAAATGTAATGACTTTGTTTTTCTTCTTGTATTAATCTTTGTGCCTCGGGGCAGCAAGTAAAAAAAAGTGGTTCAATGAAGCATGCTGTAATGCCATTGCTTTCATTTTGATTGTGTGCCTTTAATTGTTATACCTTCTTACTTATTCTCCCACAATTATAATAACAATTTGTTGAGAATTCAACCCCAAACCACTACACCCTCTAGTCACTATTATAAGTAACTTTTACCTTTTTTTGGTACATTTGATTATTAATATATCTAGTCCTTATATGGACGACTAGATACATTAATAATCAAATGTATCAAAAAGTTCAAAGTTTCTTATAATAGTGTGACTGAAGGGTGTATGACTTAAACAAACAGAAACCTAGCAGGGAAATGGTCATTCTTCCGCTCTAAAAATATACAACAAATTAGAAGTTGGAATGTAGGTAAAGAGAGAAGTCTGAGTGGTGCATGATTTCCTCCACCATCAAATAGTTGGAAAAGGAATGTGGATTGACCATCATAGGGAAGCCAAAACCTGGTATTGGAGGAGTCCTAAGTAATGAGTTGGGAGAGGTAAAGGCTTTTGTTGCTGCATCAGTTTGAAATAATGAAGTAAAGTTCAGGTCAGTTGTTACAACAGGCAGATATAAATAGTGCAATCTGACTTCAAGAATGCATTATCCTGGGTAGAGAGGAAAGATGCTTGTCTCTAAAACTTATATATGTTTGGACTAGGTAATTTTAAATTTTAGACAATTGAAATGCATCAAATCAATTCCCTTTATATTTAAGTTTTTAGGCCTCGTGAATAATTACCTAACGAATAATTATCTTAAAGCCTTATCAGGTTTATGTAAAGTAACAGTGATTAAGTCTTGTGACCTGCATAAATCATGTTACTTGCTTAACAATGCTTAAGTCTGTATGAAGATGTAAATATAAATAGTAGTGTCTTACTTACTTAAACTAAAACTGACTATATAATTGTTCTGTTTATATTATATAATTTGAATTTCCAACTTTTCCTTCTATTATTTGATTCCCTCAAAATTCAATTTCATAAAATAAAAACATTCTCATCTACAGTGTATAATAAGCTATATACATCTACTATACAAAGAAAATAATAGCTACATCTAGCTATGCTAAAAATGTAGAGTCCCAAAACCTTAATAATAAGTGGAACGAAGTTCCATAGGATTGTTCAAACATAAGTCTCAATAAATTTACAACAATATGAACACTAATTGCAAGAATAAAAAGTAAGTATAAATAATGAAAAGTAGTTGCAAATCATGTTGAAAAGTGCTATATTAATCATCGTTCAAAGCTCCATATGTTGAAGAGTTTGACTTGGATTTGATTGAGATCAACTTTGACGGCGACGAAATCATGACTGTAGAAAATGATTCAAGATGTAGGATTAATTAGCAACGACGAATATCAAATAATCAGAGGTGTCTCTTGAATGATAAAACACATGTACCGTAAAAACAACACAAATATCTCAAGTTTCAACCTCTAAGGAAGTTTGCTTATAGCATATCCTAGGGTCATTCATTAGAAAATTTCACCTAAAATATAGTTTATGGTGTACCTATAGATGATTGACATTAGAATAAATCAATAAATCTTAGAAAACAATTTCTGAGCATGACTTCAAATCTGCACAACAATCTTTGTGCCAACATGTTCTATGGTGAAAATAAAGGAAATCCAAAAATTCCGACCATATTTTCTTATTCATTCATAAATTCAAACTTTTTGCAAGAACAATCTTTATATGATATACTTGTCTAACATATGTAAATTCTAAACTATTAATACCTTCGATTTTTCGCCAAGCTCGGCCATACAACTTTAAAGCCTCAAGGAACTTCTTATGTTCTTCATCTGTCCACTTCTCTCTCTGCTTTGTGATAGTATATGGTTTCCTTACCTAAAAAAAATATAAAAATTTGATTAAGTTAAAACATATGTAACATAAATAATCAAAGTTTATAAAATAAAATATTTCACAAACCTTCAAGGCATGGTCATATCCACATGAAAATTCAACCCATAACCCTAAACCATGACAGTTATATCAAAAAGTATCAATTCAAGGAGCCATAGCAGTTAACAACGTATGAAACCATGACTTTACTAAAAAAGATTAATGTACCTAAAGTTTGGTCAAAATGATGCATAAAACTTGATGTTCTGTTCAATTTGAGCATAAAAAAAACTAGCTTTACATGTACTCAGATAAAAAAAAGTATCAAGTTTAACCTGAAGTAGTGTTGAAAACCTGGACAGTAAGGCAGAGAATTCAAGAACCTTGCAAGCCACACTCAACGTTCTTGCAAGCCTGCAAATTTTAAATGTTCGGAATTTCAGTTTGTCAAAACCAACATGGTCGGCAGGTCAATCAGGGAGATGAGAAAATGTTATCATTGATAATTGCAAATATTATCCATGTAAGTTTGTCAAAATCTTAACACTATCTAGATATGTACTCTCCAAATTTTCATCTTCTTCTCGATAACCAATACTTCTGAAGTATGCCTCTTTTGATTGAAACATGGTCTAAGGCAGTAGAATAAATTATCCAAATTTAAAAGCATCATGTAACAACACAAATGTTCAAGTTCAATTCAAGACAAATGTAATCCCATTCAGTTCATATCCAAGCTTAGCATTCAAGCATTCATCTTACATTATATACATTCAGCCAAGCATTCAAACATGAATTATACAGGGTGATACAAATTAGGCAACACATACATATCATGCACAACAGGATTTCCAATGCAATGCAACACAAACTTACAATCATCATGACCAAGTCATGTTCAATTTAAACACAAAATAAGAACAATCAGAAAAAAAAACCTATATGGGTTTTAGCATGCAATGTAGTTCATACTACAGAGATCAAATTGAACAAAACATACATCCACTTGACAACCAAGGCATAGTACAATTCATCATTAGAAAAAGACAATTCAACTCAAGAGGGTAACAAATCCAAGGTAGCATGCCATGGTCATGTGGAATAATACTCAATATAACATTTAAACTCACCTTGACTTCAGCTCTAACTCTCAATTTCCAAACCTCAGCCACAAACCCCTTACACTGACAGAATTACTAACAGAATTTATCCTAAACCTCTAACCTACTAACCAAATCTTAAACTCAAGTGTTAACTAATATAATTAATCCCTAACTATTTCATAACCTCACTACTGACTGAACTCAACATAAACCATAACTTCACTTTAATAAACCTCCATGTGTGATCAAAAGATAACAGAGTTAATGAAAAATATGGCTTCACTTTAATAAACTTTAGCTTCACTTTAATAAACTTTAATAGCTTCACCCTTAGAGTTATATTTTCGGGTTATTGAGCAAAAAATATGGCTTGATCAAAAGATAACAGAGTTATAAAAAATCAATCTTGAGGGATTTAAACATCACCATCATTGATCTCATGCTGCAAATCCTTCAGATCCTTCCCATCAATAGTACACACAATAGAAACACACGTTCCAAGAATCTCCTTCACAGTCCCCGCCAGCTCCTTCACCATTGACATCAGCTTCATAATCTTCCTATCGTGCGCCACCCGACTCAAGTTTTAAACCGCTGTAGAAAAGTATTGTGCTCAAAGCAGCAGTGCTGTTCCATGCCTTTGAAAACAAAATCAAAATAAAAAACTCTAATTAAATTCAGAACGTAACATCAAAATAAACCTTAACTGCTAAATCAACTTATCTAACTCCAAAATCCCTAATTTAATGCAACCAACTATAAATCTCTAACTTATGCATTTCATGAACAAAATTTATGTGCTTGGGCGAGTTTAGAGAG